GGAATTCGGTGCAGGAATCTACCAATGGCGAATCGCGAAGAATCGACTATCGATAGGTGTATTCCCATTTGAAGGTATGGTGAAGAATCTATCATTTAGGTGTTCGTTGCAAACACCCTGTTTATCGATCCTTTTCCGTGGGTTTAAATGGAAAACCAATCGATACATCCCAAAGCACGCCACCAGGGTGTCTACTACATCAGTGTGGCCAAAAATCAGTACTTTTCCGGTACTTTATCAGTACATCCCCAAGAAATTCAGTACCTCCTCAACAGAAAAATTCAGTACTTTTTTAGAACTTTTATTTGAAGGAATTCGAAAAATTTCAAAAATTTGAATTTCTCGCTCAAATTGCAACAAAAATTACGAAAATTCCGTACCTCCTTGCGGAAGTACCGCACTTTTTCAGTACTTCCGGACCGCCCTTAAAAACTCAATACTATTTCCGGACTTTCCGGAAATTCCGCACTTGTAGACACCCTGCTGTTAGTCGAATAAACTGAATCAATTTCAAGCTGTAAAGTGGGCTTGTATCCGTCGGGAAAATAAAAAAGGAGCAGGGATTTTGCAACACCGCAATAGAGATACGCTGTTTCGCACTTGGGCCATCGATATAGATCTTCCTAAAGAAAGGAGTTATTACAGGAACGACGCAGTGGCGTGGCGTGCTTTGCGATATATATATTGCTCTACCATTTAAAATGATGGAAAAAGATCGATTAATAAAGTATTCGCAACGGACACCTTAATGATCGATTCTTTACCATAGCTTCAAATGAGGATATATCGATATATCGAAAAGCACGCCACGCCACTGGAACGACGGCGAATACAGATTTTATATTAGGACTCGAGATGGTAGCCAATAATATCCTCATAGTCGGTGCATAGAATCTGGAGAAGTCCTTCTGTGCGGTCCTAATTGTAAGTTCCAAAATTAAGTCCGGGGCACGAGTATGTGAGAGCCCACTGACTGAAGTAATGCAATAACAGTTACACCTTAAAGGGTAGGGAAGGAGCTCGGGCGGTACAGAATACTGCCGTGCTAAGGAGAAACGCCGTATGAACCTCCAAACGTTGCCAAATTTCATCGGATGAGATACCAATTTATAGGGAAAATTGCTACTATTTTTCTTCCAATTTTTGATATTATTTTGTGCGCAATTTAATCTAAAATATCTGAAAATTTGAAGGAAAAATATGCATGAATGTTGTCAAAAATTCATGTTCTATCTGGGGAAATTCGGCAACTCTAGAATGTTCATACGGCGTTTTTCCTTGGCACGGCAGAATAGCCCGAGCAGCGGAGATTTTTAGTCGGGTTGCTATTCGCGAAAATACCAATTTCGAATTTAAGTAATTCTTTGATTTATCTTTCGTGAGGAAGAATCCGACACAGCTCTCTGCAAAATCGGGAAATTGGAATTTAAAAACTTCTATTGCTACCGAAAAAATAAATAACGAATTCTGAGAACTCGGGAGGGTAGTGCGGATAATGAATTCTCAACCTTCTTCTGGATAACTTTTCTAGGCTCTCAACGACAAATCTTGATTCTCATCTGTAGGCATAGCTGAAGCTTTCTTCTGGAGTCAGCCGGGCCCCTTTTCCACTACCAAGGGATTCTGGATTCCCTCAACACAAGACGAGGGAGGGGTCTAAACTTTGCCACTCCTTAAAGTCGAAAGTGATGAACCTTCTATATTTATTTTTTTTTTTAAAGTACATCCCTCAGGATCATCTTCGTAGCGTTGATATGAAAAATAAAGAAAAAAGGGGGGCATTGCTTCCAAAATGTACCCTTCCACCTATGTAATTTTACCATAATAGATTGTGATTCCCGGGGCTCATGCCCAAAGAAAGCCAGTCCTAAATACAAGTTAACCTGCTGCAAAAATAAAAATCTCTCCCTCATTTACACTTAAGTCTCAAGTGGATTTTGTTGGCGAACACAAGTCCAAATGTATGAATTACTAGCAAGGTCATAGCTGAGATTGCAAGTGTACAGGGGTGAAATTCAAAGAGAGCGGTGTAAATTGAACTTCCGGACCGAGCTTAAAGAGGAAAGTGGGAAGTAGCGACTTCAGAGGTGGTGTAAACATTGACTGCCATGTCAGTTTGTGACATCAAGTTAACTAACAGCAGTGCTTGAAATCTAGCTAACAGTGGATTTGCTCACTTAAAACATGACATCAGCTTCTATTCCTCTTTATGACTGTGCTCTGATCAGTGCTGACATAAAATACAACCTAGGCTGCACAAGTGCCTCTTTCAATGTGACAATAGGTAGGTAACCCAGATCGCATGCAACTCTAAACGCGAAATGGTGTGGATCCAGCACCATTCCTCCACCTTGTAACATTTATAAGTAAACGCACAAGTTGTAAGGTAGTTCAAATGACGTCTAACAACTCTGACCATTTGTTATCAGGTAATTCTGTTTCCAAATTCCTGAACAGTTTACTCAAAAAACGCACCTAACAGATCAGTGTGCCGCCAGCTAAGTACATAACCTTAATCTTCAATACAGAGACCAATCAACCCTGACTAGTGTCTTGAGCTTCAATCACTGTTCTAAAGTGAAAATGTTATCAAAAAGATTGGACAAGTTTCTTCCTTGTATTAATAGATGATCTGTAAAATATACATTCCAAAGCAACCATTGACAACAGGCAGTAGATTGGCCAATAAGTTTGTCAACTTAAATGAGTGTCAATCAATTTGATTCCAGGAAATTTCTTGTAGAACGGCTCTTACAAGTCTGCATTTTATGGTAATCTTGACTTTGAAGCAGACTGGAATAGCAAGTCACAATGCTTCGAGAAGAAACATTATTGGGGTAGAACTGGGGAAAGAAAAGGATAGACAAATGTCACATCCAAAACTTGCACCATTCAACAGATATTTACATGCTAGCCAATGGGCCAACTGAGGATTGATGCATTAAGACTGATGTGACTTTTATCTATTCTTTTCTTTTCCCTGTTTTAACACAATCGTATCAAGTTATACCTGCCAAAATTGGAACTCCAGTCCATCATTCACACATCTCATGCAGAAATTATGCTTATCCATCTATAATATTAAACGAGCTATGTCAAAACAAAGATTACTCACATAGTATGTCACTTTCTGATGCTAGCTGCGACTCCCGAACTTTTGCTTCGATACAATTGTTGCATGCAGAATGTAAACAATCCAAGAGTTTTGGCTCTTCCGCAGAGCCCAAAATTTGCTGGCAAAATATACACTTCGTGGTAACCCATGGGTTAGAGGGCTGTTCCGTTGTGGGCGTTGTGGCACTAGGACTTGCTTCTACGCACTCATTAGGAGTTTGCTCCTGATCAATTTGTTGACACTCGTCACTTGTGTCCTCAATAGAGGCATCTCGAGTATTTTCAGTTTTCACTATGGGAACCTCAGCGGTCGGAAATTCACTTTCAAAGTCGACTTGGTTTTCCATTTTAAATTAAAACTGACAAAAACAAACTTAATGTCACTACTTAGGGTTAGTGACTCCACACCACAAGTTATTAAAATCTGCCATTACTTACAGAGAAGCAATGTGCCTGTAGCAAGTGAAAAACGAGCGAATACGGGAAATCTATGCTGTTGTCGACCGAAAAAGGTTCATTATGGGATCCGCCCGATGACACAGATTAAAACCTACACTGAACTCAAATTAGAAACTCAATTCGGTAAAATTTTGCCTGCAGTATGATGTGCAGAGATGAAAAACACAACGAATTCGGAGCCTCGATGAGACTCAACACGTAGACTTATGGCGGGTGTTTTATTTCCAACCATTAGAAAATTACTAAAGAATTCACAAATAATACAGAAAAGGCTAAAACTTTAAGATAATTAGGAGTTTTCAGGGATTCAAAATAGACGGCTGTTCAATTTCCACCACATTTACAGCCCGTGGATGCACTCGCGTACTTGCATAAGAGAGTGGACTCTCTCATTATGAGCCTGAGAGTTGTTTGAGAGCGCATGACCGAAGGTTAGGCAATGAGCTTTACAGTCACCTCTCACAATTTTCACTCTATGCAGCATTGCAGCAAATGCAAACAATGCAGAATAAGGTTAGGGTAGTGTTTGTTATCATCAATTTTTGTGTTTTTTCTGGTTTTTTCGAGACTTTTTCTTTTCTAGTTTCAAGTGGTGCAGCGAAATCACTACAGTAAACTTATTGAAATTTCTAAGTGCAGTTCTTCTTAGTTATCAGGTACCAAAATATGTGGTAAATGTAAATTTTGTGTTAATTTATACAAGGCATAATGGTAGTTCAGGCGGCTCTGGCAAGCACATTGTGCAGGGTTACAGGAAATCTCTTTTCAAACAATTCAGCTTTGAATCTACAACCAAAACTCCTGAGTCTTTTCAAAATCGCTGCTGCCTCGTATAAAGGTGAACCCTCGCATTTCATGGATTTCAACAAGGTTGTATACCCACCCCAAGAACCTGGAGAACCGCCAAGACCTGCTTTCATATGTCATCAGAAAACCAACGTCAAGTATCAGCCGAAAAAATTGTATGTCTGCGCTTGTTTGATTCGTGGAATGACGGTAGATGAAGCTCTCAAGCAACTGAAGCAAGTTCCCCGCAAAGGCGCTGTTATTATCGCGGACACATTAAAAGAAGCTAGAGACCTTGCTGTGACTGAGCATAATGTGGAATTTAAGAGTAATCTTTGGGTTGCTGAATCTTTTGTAAGTAAGGGTATTACGATTAAAGGTGTGAGAAAACATGCTAAAGGGAGGCATGGTATAATTTTTTATAGATATTCCCACTATTTTGTACGTTTGGAAGAAGGAACTCCTCCAAAGGATTATTATTGGGACTTGCCAAGAGATGGCCCCTCTGCACTTGAGAGATATGTTGAACAGCTCCGCGCTCGTAGGATCATAAATTCTCTTTAACTCTCAACAAAAGTCAAGTGTATTCAGATGTTCAAAAATGTTATTCTAGTGATAATTGGGTTTTGCATTTCAACCTAACTTTCATTTGCTTGTTTTTGCTTTTATTCTTTGTAGTTTTTTACTTGGTTCAGAACCTAACTCTCAAATAAATAATGTAACATGTACCATGAAGTTTTTAATGACTTGTCCTTGTAGTTGATTCTTTGCAAGATACAAAGATATTGTAACCGCTAGATATGCAGTATGGGCCTACTTATTGCAGGGTATCTGGACCTGTGAGGGGGTACATGCGCCTGGTGGGTAGGCAGCGCGTTTTACACAGAGGCAAACTCTTCCATAAGAAATGCCAAAGAGTATGCCGCATGAGAGTTCGCCTCTATGTAAAACACGCTGCCTACTCACCACCCTCCCCTCCTATCAGGTTCAGATTACCCTGCCCTAACTGCATATCTAACCGTTATAATATCTTTGGCAAGATATGCCGATGACTCTAGAACAGAGGAACTTCCTCTGCTTGCAGTGTTATAGAAATTCAGTTTTGTTCTATGTTTCGACCATAGGCGTACCCAGGTCATGTTGTCAGGGGGGCCTGGCCGCTCCACCAGGGGGGTTATGGAATACCCTCAGTTCAGAGGAGGGCTCGGAGGGACTCCCCCCAAAAATTTTTGGAATTTAAAATCTATTTGGATGCTTGTCTTTGCCATTTAAACAATGATGATTTTAAAAACTTACATCTTGTTTGGAAGTTGGTTTCTAGACTTAGCGTTGTGTAATTCGTTTATTTTCTCAAATTTTGAAGAGAAAACATGTGACGTAGTGCTTTGATTCATACATGCTCTGTATTGAGTCCAATTCCATTGGGAAAGCACAGAAGATACTTGTGAGCACTTGCTCCCTTAAGTGCGGTTTATGAGTGATTTTATTGACAAGTAGTAAGCTGGATCTGAATTTCATGTAAACAGATCGATTTTTAAAAATGTGTCTTCATATTTGATGATACCAGCATGAAAAAGGTCAGCTAAATAAGGAACACGTCAGGATTGAAAATTTTATAGTGGACAAAATGAGAATAATATTGCGACTCGACCAGTTCAAGAACAGCAAGTGTTGGCCAACATCAGATGCGCTATTCAAAGAGTGCCCACAAATAAAATCAGGGTGGGTCTGCATCTGCAGCCTGATTCTTGAAAATTTGTTTTTGTCGACTGTTCAAGTCGAAATTAAGGAGGATGGAGTTATGTGATTGGTCGGTGCTTTGACAAGTGACTCTTGTCTTGCCAATAAAAGGTGTAAATAACGATAAGTTGAAGGCACCTCTTGAGTTGCCGATACTTTATTCGTCCTTTATATGCACAAAAAGACGCAATCCGAAAGTCATTGACCAATCATATGATTCCATTCTCCATTTTAAAGTGGAAGATCAACTGAAAAGTCTCTAAGCCATATAAAGCAATTGGGTGGAGTTATGCCAAACAGTCACATCTACATTGCAATGTTTCAAAATCCCATGAACTATTTAAATATTTTGGAGGAACCAACCAACATTTTTGCATCAAATTTTGTAGAGATAATCTCCATATGGGCACGAAAAATTGCCACTATTTTTGAGAAGGGATATTCGTTAGTTTCCTTCTAAGATATTAAAATTGGAGATGAGATTTTGAAACAACACAGTATAAATGTGACCGCTTTACTGGCCCCTATCCAATGGACTCTTGTGAAAACAAGAAGAGCAGCCTATATTCATACAAAGAGAATTATAATGGTAGATGAAGACTATCAATTGAATCTTTTCAAAGAAATTAATTTATTTTAAAAGAGAAAACAAAAACAGTGAAGAACACTGAGAAAATTCTCGGGCTCAGTATAAAAGAAGGTTCTTTTTTATGATAGTATTAACCATCTTGCAGTGAAAAATAAACTGATTGGCGGTTTAATAAAATAGAGAGTATTGCATACTGTTTGAAGAATCACAGATTCAATGCTAGAACTGACATATAAAATTGTTACACTGTTTATATCCCAGAGGAAAATTGAGGTAAACTCTTTTTCTGCTGCATGCAGGAGGGGTGTGGTTACAATTCATTGCTGCCACACTGCCATATTTAATTCTCCTGCATTTCAATTTTTCTTCTCTGGTTCCGAGTCTCCAGTACTGGAATCTTCCTCCGACTCCTCTGATTCATCAAGCTCATAATCATCATCATCTTCATCGGAATCCGAATCTGTGAAAAATGGAAAGACAGTCATGACATGAACTGAAGTTATCACAGTAACAAAGTTTACAGAGACGTTCAATTTGGCTTTACAACTTGCTCGACCGTTTTTAATGTTAAGATTACTTGATACACTAGTTCAAACGAGGATTTTGCCATCATATGAGTGTTCTATTAACTGCTTGCAACTTCACCCAGTGACATGCGCAGAATGTGCCCAAAAATGAGGCTTTAGCAACCAAAAACTCAGGGTCCAGGCTAAAAGTAGGGTTTCAACCCCTATAAAATTGTAGATACCTCCTAAAAATTAGACCTGTCAGCCAAGATGACTCCTAAAATTTTGCAAGTGATGAAATCAAGTCTATGTGTGATGACTTTCCATATCACTCCTGAGGAAGTAGGCACAGCTATCAAAAGATCAAAGAGCCTCGAAGTGTCTGAACTCAAGAACCAGCAAGAAGACTAGCTAAATCTATCCAATGCAGAACTGGCAAGTTTTTCACAAGTATTAGGAACCTAATGGAGAAGTGCATAAGAGGTGGTGAGGTCCCAAAAGAATGGAAAGAGCCATTGGTACTCATAAAAAGGATCAGAGAGATAACCGCAGAAACTATTGAGGTTAGTGGATAACAGAATCGTTGAAAAATATCAACAAGAGAATTTTGAAAGCCAAAATGGAGGAAGGAAGGAAATCTCATGGAGCCAAGGAAAGGGTGGGGCTTGAAGATGGTAGATCGATATTTGATTATTTGCCTTGGGTCATCCAAAATTATTGGGGAAAGAATAAAAATGGGACAGAAGCTGCATTCGGTGTTCCAGGATCTTCAAAAAGCCTATGATCATGTATCTTTGCTGAGACTCTAGAAAGTCTTGGAAAAATCTGCTTTTTGTGGCGAGCTTGTCAACACAATTAAATAGTTTACTAGAATTTTTGGAAATTAAGAACATTCTCTTTGGCTTACTAGCGCACTATTTGACATATGTGCAAATATTCGCGCCGTGACAAATAACGAATTTGTCTGAAAAAAATGTGTCTGGTGATCCCTAGATACCAGCTTGACGGCTTGCGTAGTTAACTTTAATCCTTGGAATGCATACATAACTGCAAGGACAGTCAAACCAGCATCAGAGGATTTTCTAAGACAGTCTTAACAACCAGGGTTGCTATCATAGCATTTCATTGTTTTCTGTGCACAAGTATGATCAAATGGAACATTTTTAAGAAAAGTAATAACACTCATTTGTCGACTTTTGTGACATTTGCGAATTTTCGCACTTAAAAATGTCATTTTAAATTATTCGTCATACTATTCATAGTTATGAATAATTGACTTAAATTATTTGCTATTCGCTCCCTATGAAAAATTCACAGTTTGCACAGCCATTCAGCCCTATCAGGTCTGTTAAAATCTCGAGAGGGGTGCGCATGCAAAATGGGAGTGCGTTAGGTAATAGGGGTGGAGAATGACATTGTCACATCATGCACAATATCAGATCCAAGCGCTGGTCTGGTATGGACATGTGCGGACAATCGGTTGCCTGAACAAGGTTTCGATTGGCCTTCCCAGGGGGCACTGCAAGGACATCCCATGAAAGGCTGGCGCAAGGTGTGGTGGAGGAGATCAGAACATGTTAATTGCCTGATAATTTGTGAGAAAATTGTGGCCAATGGCGATTGGGTGTTGCAAAGCGTGTTGTTGCCCTGTAAAATCAGCTATTGTAAATACTAGGAGTAAACAAAATTATATCTGCGAAAATTTTAAAGATTTTTCTTCATGAAAGAATGGGTTTAGTATTTAATTCATTGCAAATTTAAAATTGATGAAAATTCTTCCTGCAATGAGAGAAATCTGACAATGCCTAGCATACAATTACAGTAATTATCATATTTTTAACTCTTGCAATCCCTTGAGTTGACACTAACATTAAATAATGTATACAATATCTTACCATTTTGACTATCACCACCTTCATATCCACCATAACTGGCACCAGCACCATAGCTGCTGTAATTATCATAGTCGTCATCATCATCATCATCACCATATCCACCTTGGCTCTGTCGACCATACTTGTGACTTCGAGCTGCAAAATAAGTGTGTCAGTGATACAATTTTAAAATTGACAGATGCTAAGGATAACAAGAACTGCAGAGAAAGTAAAACGAAGCATAACTGTGGAATGAAATACTGAATTCACTCAAGCTTCATGCTAACTCTCAAATTGTGCCCGAAATTGAAGCTACACAAAAAAAAAATGAAAGTCTATTCAGGACTTTCTAAGAGAATGTTCCCAAATACCTTTTTACGGTCTATGTTTCTACTGAAATTAATCTGATTAAATTTAAATTAATTAGATACAAAGAAACTTGATCAGATAAGATGATCATTAAATTCTAATTAAGTATTCATTGAGAAATTTTGAATAATAGTACAATATACAAGTACATTTTAATGTCTGGTCGTTTCTAGATTTTTTGCGGGAAATCAGTCAAGAAACATAAAAACCTGTTCTTTTGCTACAGACTCATATTACAACTTTGGTAGTAAATTAGAGGGTTGGTTGGTAGTTGGTGGAGAGTAATGTTTCGCCTTGCCCTACCAACCGCATCAGAATACTGAGCTTCAATCTCTTTTTCTGTCTCTTAACACACATATCTGGACATAATCAGAGAAAGTGAGAGTATCTATGTTTCATTCAAGTTCTACCATATAATGGGATTTAGTTTTGGGAATTAAAATTCTTTGACTTACATTTCCATACCCTAAAAAGACACCCCTGACCAGGTAAATGCTCTCGCAGTTACAACTGTGCTACTGTTACTGATGCTTCAAGCAGATATCTTCTGTACAATGGGCCTGTTGCAAACTTTTGCTAGAGGAAAAAGAGTTGTTAAGAACTCATAGAAAGTGTCTTAAAAATCACGATGAGCGGATCGGCAAACTCTGAAATGCACTCCTATCTTCACAATCTGCCTAAGAAATTCGCGTTTTTTTAAGCTACCCGCTTCAAAAAGGATACTACAGCACAGGTGAACATTTCGTTAGAGGAGTCGTTCCATTCAATCCCTGCTCAGCATGGCCGACACTTCCGCCAGCAAGTTGAGGAAAGCCCGAGGTCAATCAAGGCAGACATCTATCAACGCGAGAAAAATGAGAATGTAAACACGCCGATTATCATCAGGTGGTTAGAATCATCGTCCCGTCACATGTGTTTTGGCGGATTGGCATCGGCTATGTTGAATATTGCGTAGTATCCTTGTGAGCAGGGGGGTAACCTATAGAGCTGTAACTGGTCAACTTTCTGGGTCAACTTCTGGTCTTCTTATTATAGGTACTCTAGATTCAGCTACATTTACAAAAGATGAGCAAAGGACCTAAGGAGGATGACCTAAGGACCTAGGAGCTTGAAGTTCTTATTTTGTTCGACTGGAGCAATCTAACAAACGATTTCACAATTTAGTGTGAAAAATGTTAAAAAATGTTAGGTACATACTGGACATGCTGAGGTCTTTAGTTTCAGATGTTTCATAACCACACTTGGGGCAGGGTATTGCTTTATTTTTCTCGTACTTGAATCCTTTCCTGCGGACATGGTCTTCGCAATAACAAATTTTGCACTTCAAGCATGTGTACTGACCTAATTTGTTGCAAGATTGGCCTGAAAATTATTTGAGAATATGAGTCATACAATTTCATCAGACTAAAGAACAAAAAGATAAAATTGAAAATTTTAAAGTGCATGCACTGAGTTATTCACAAAAAGCGAGAATAACCCAAAATAGATCCTCCTAGAAAGTCTAAAAGTGTGCTTTGATTTACTGTATAACATTTTTACAACCTGAATGGATGATGGCAATATTTCTAAATATTTGGTAATTAACAGGGATATCTGATGAGAATATTATCATGCAATTTTGAAAACTGCATTCTGGCCAATGTCTGATCTATTTCTGCACAAAAAATTGAAAATATTTTGACTATTAGAGAATTAAAAAATAACTTGAGAGAGTTACTTGAAACTTGATTGAAAATTTAGACTTAAAAAAACTTTAGATATGATGAGGAATTGAATAGGAAAAAATACTACTTCTACCCACAAGAGAATGTAAAAATTCAAAAAACATTTTTCTGCAACAGGGTTCTGAAATTCACTATGTTTCCTGTTTTGAAGCAACATTTCATCAAAGCAAAGAGATGTAAGAATACCATCAACCCTGCCAATACCACCAATGAGGTGAATTGTCATGAATGCTGTGCATACTTTAGGGTCCTACCGTATTGATAAATTAAGACTTTTGATAAGTGGGTGGTATCTGTTGGTGAGGATAAGAGAAAACTCTGGCATATTTGGATTGCATTTTGCAAAAAGGAACCACTAGCATTGCAATGGTGCTAAGATTGTGCAACTTCATCCTTTGCAATAAAATTGCGGAAATCGTGAAAAACTATGAAATTTAGATGGTAATTTTTGTCTAAAATTCACAGTTTTTAGCTAGTAAAATAGAAACTATTAATGGATAATCGGAGTTTTCCTCCAAGACAAAAGAAGTTGAACAATCTTAGCAACATTGCAATGCTAGTGGTTCCTTATTGCAAAATGCAATCCATTTGTTCTCACACATCACAGTTGTTAACTTACACTTGTAGTTCTCGGACTCTAATACTTGACAAGAAGCTTGGTGTTCAAACTGATCATCCTCACATAAAAACCCTGAGCAAAATGAACACTTAAAAATTCTGCCACCATGATCCCAGACACCTCTCTCGCACTCCAGACAGTTCGCATCGGCTAAAGGGCAGGTGCAAGCATGAGTTGTTAGGCACTTTCTACCATGGCAGACCCAGGCCTCACAAAAGTCACAAATAGCTCCCTAAGAAAAAGAAATTATTAATGGTTAGAATGGCAAAAAAATAAAGCTTAAAGAGAATAAAAGCTGTAGGTGGATGGAACCATAATCAAGGTGTGTTCACTTCCTAAAAAATACTAAAAATCAGTGATGGGATGTACAGTTGAACAGCAAAAGGGACCCATGCCCCCTTCCCGAGGTTTTTGAGATGATTTTCTTATTCCCATTATCATCATTTTTGTGTTCGGACAAGAAAAATAGGCACTTGATTAATCTTTGCTTGTCACTTCAAAATTATAACAAAATATGTTGCAAGGTATTCAAGGAAAGTTTTGTGGACCTTTTAACTTTTGCTACTACTACTGTAAAACATCACGTTTTAGATACACACATTTTGAGGGGATAAAACAGAATAATTAATAGTTTCAAAAAATTTTGTAGAACTGGGGTAACTTCTTTACTAGTAGATGTCTCCTCTGTAACTTTTCCATATTTTTTCCCTAGTTCATGAGAAAGAGAAAATAAGAGCCTCCATCACTTAAATAAGAAAAGTGTGTTTGGGTTGCTGGCACTTCATAAAGAGATTCAAGCGCTTTCCTCAAAACTATTTCATTAGATAAAACCTATTTCGATGATTGACTTACCACCATTGCTAGACCAGTCGTGAATACACCTGAATGTTTGATGACACAGTCTCCAGTCTTGCTCATACACTTAACTTTTCCGCAGTTTGCACACTGAGGAAGCCGCTGAGTGCTTGAGCAAAAATAACAAAAAGCTCGATTCTTTTGTTTTCTGCAGGCATAAAAAAAAAGCATGATACCTAATTAGTGACTTTTGAATAAATTACTCTTCTTTTAGTTGCTTCCTAACTCTTGCAGATTCTGTCCAAACAATAATTTTAATTTGAAAAAGGGCCCCTACTGGCTATAACTATTGAATATTTTTTCCATTTCCTCTTTTGTTCTTTGAGAAAATAAGCTTTTCAATTTTCTAATAACAGATGAATTGACATTAACAAAGGAATCACTAGTAATAACAAAGATTGTTTGTGCTTACACAAAGAGAGAATCATTACATCAGGAGCACTGTTTTTCCCCCTCCTTATCAACTGATTATATTCACCTGTGGATCAGGAAAGTACAAACTTGTTGGGCAAAATGAGTCTGAAAAAGTTTAGCAAAACTCATACAACTGTAACAATATTTTAGTATGATCATTGATCAATTCCCAGGTATAAAATTCAAATTACTTTCATTGCTTTCCTGACTGTGTTGGCAATGGATGTAGCAATTGTACTGCTTTGTCTCCCTCCTTAAAAAATAGGAGGAAGAAAGCAAAGCATCCACAAGACATAAAGGGTTCTCACAAGCTGGTGAGCAATGAATTGGTTATTTTGAAAGGAAGTGATTCATGGGCTCATACGCACCTTTTGCATTTTTCACACTCCTGTAACAGAGAAGAATAAAATATTAATTGATTGATATACCCATAGAAAAATGATACGTACATTTGCATCAATTTAATCAGAATAAGCGTGAGTAAGTAACTACATATTGCTTTGCCAAATTTTCACTGACTTTTCATTTTTTTGACAGAGACATAGAGTCAAGAGAGAACTAGAAAATTTAAGTAATGCCTTTAAAGGTTTTGTAAATATGCTGAAAATTTTAAAGAATATACTCAAATAATTACAAGCCTCAATGTTGCTTTTAGTTTTCTAATTAGATGAAATAACAGAGAAAACTAGGGAAAGTCTGACTCTGTTTAAATAAACCCATTTAGCTTTCACTTAAATATGATTCATCACTAGCTTACACGACACAGGATCTAGAAAATGATTATAAATGTTCCTGAAATTCAATGGGGGTAGCAGTGTACAGCGATGTTCCTTTCAATTTAGATTGTAACAACCCTGAATTTAGCTCAAAGGCAAAAAGGCTCAAAGGTTATAAGTAATATTTTATTGATAGTAAAAAGAACCGTTAGAGCAAGGAATTTTGCCTGTTTTGTCAATTGGAAATAAGCATAAAAATCCATGGAAGTGAGGTGCTGGTGAGCACCACCGACATATTTCATCAGAAAGACATCCTCCCTCAAGTGCATCTGAGATTAGCCTGGCGTTTAAAGAGTTGAAAGAAGATTTTCTGCAAATTACTCCGTTGCAGTGATGGCCTAATTTGACTAATATACTTAGGGCTGTACTTAATTTCTTTTGATCTGAGATGGTTATCAATACAGTAGCCTATTGCTAATTTGCTAAAGTAATAAGAAATTATGTTAGGGCTCTTCTCAGAGATAGGAATGAGACTCTTCCAACACCTGGTGAAATGAGCTCAGGTTATGAGAGATTTGCCACATGCCACCAACAGGCTGGCAGAGAGAGCAAGAATTAACTCATGTACTCAAGAGTGTATTTTGGTCTTGATAGGGTAGAGGAATAATCTTTCAGAGGCATAAAGAACCTGAAATTGCCTGGATAGTAACTCTTGACCACCTGCATGAGGTCTAGTTAATTTCTTCCTTTACTAGATTGTCATGAGATTACAAACCTGTATAAAAATCAAGCAATCTGAGACAGAGAAAACGAAAAACAGCCTAAGGCACACGCCGTAAATTTTAATACAATCTTTAAAGTATGTTGTTCCAGACAACTTTATAAACAACATTAATTCTGAATGTGACGCTTGGCTTCTACACATGAATCAGCAATCAGGGCGGTGGATAAGATTCATAAGACCAAGAACGTGTTGCTGTGTTGACTTTCCTTAGTTCATTCTAATTTCTGCACAAGAAGAGTTAGATATAAATGAATGCTGTTAAAACATACCATTGAAGCATTACACGGATTTTGAGCCAGGGAGAGGTGATCTTTGGCGCTTCTGATTTCTTTTTGACGTAACTTCTGCTTCTCTGCCTTTTTGCGTTGGCCTGTCTTCTTCTTAGGCATGTTGATATCTACAGCCTTACTGGATGGAAAATTCACTAAAAAATTGATCTGATGCGAGGAAAAATTAAATTATTCCTCAAGAATGCCTGCTGACTGTCCTTGGAGTGGAGAAGATCATTTTCATAGGATCCAAAATATGGAGCTATACAATTAGTAAACAGTAAATAGTACTGAAGTAAAATGAAACGTGAAGGAATGTAAAAAAAAAACTACCACGTTCACATTGTAGAAACATATACGAAAAATAATAAGGATGAGTAATATCACTTACAGCTACCTACTACTACAACGACAACCGCTACAAGAGAATCATAACCTCAAAACTCAATTGCTCAAAATCACTCATCATTAAACAACTGGCAACCTCGCGGTTGAAGTGTTTCTCTGATAGCCATATGACAACAATGCTCTTGAATGTTTGTTTACTTCCCTTATCTCGCGGCTTTTAGGATCGCACGTGACTTTTTTCAATATTTTGCAATTTTTCCATTTTACTTTTTGGTAATGAGGAGAATATTCTCAGTATGATACAAGTAATGATCGAGTCAGTAAAGCCATACGTTTCTTTTCCTTTAGTGAGGTGTCAAGTTTGGTTTCAAGTGACATGGAGTTTCATCGTGGAATGAGGCTGTTTTTCTTGAAAGTTCTGATTCTAAGGTAAGGAAAGCCAGAATTATGTACTTTTCAATTATTTTTTAGTTCCACTTAACGCTTCAGTTTTTAATGAAAGTATCAAGTATTCAGTATTTTATTCTTGCCCTGATCAGTTGGTCAAGTCAACGCATTTAGAATACCTATTACTGCATTCAATAGCATTTCCAAATTCTGGCTGCATGCTTTTTCTGTGACAGTAGATGGCGAAGCTAGAAAAATACTCATCATGCTTGCTGTGCTTCAGAATTTTCATCTCTGCCACACTTTTTGCAAGACTCTTTCATTTAAACTTTTCAGGGAAATTAAATGCGAGAGAAGGTGCGGAGAAAAATACAATAAAGTTTGCGTGAAAATAATGATCAGACATCCTCCTCGAAAATCAATTGTATCTACCAGAAATTCTGCGTAGCACTAATTAGTGGACCATAGATGGTTGTGTCAAGATCCCACCAGACTCGAAAACGTCATTTGGATAATAAAGTCCGATACGTATACCCACCCTAAAATCTCACGAAACAGCATTTTGCGTTATGGAGAACAGGTGGTAAGATGCGTTTTTGAAGCATAAAACATGTTGATAAATTCCATTGACGAGCTGAATGGAAGTTTTCAAACTACCGCAAGCAACTCCGCTAAAATTGCCTACCAGCTTATTGAAGGCGAACTGGTGCTAATGAGCGCAACACAATGCGCAAATTCAATTGAAAAAGATGTTCAGAGATGTCGTTTATGCTGGTGTATTCCAATGTGTGGTGCTGTCAAGAGAAAAATGCCCTAGAAGTGTGCATTTCTGCAGAATGCCTATCTTTTTTTTCAAATATATTTTATTATTTAACGTAGTAATGCCCACCCGTGCACAGGCCCGCCACATCCCTTCTCGGGCCCTGGTACCAGTTTTAAAGTCCGGGCCCCAAGCACGGAGGGGGGGGTCCGAGGGGCATCCCCCGAGAAATTTTAGAATTTATACGACAAATCGGACGCATTTTGAAGCTTCCATAAAAAAATTTTCCATCAATTTCTGCGGAATAATTATGTTTTTTTTTTTTTTGTCTACTTTCAGCACAAAATACTTGCGAATTGTTGCATTCAAAACATCTGGAACATTTTTATTTTTTTTTTTTTGGGGGGGGGGGGCATATGATACTATTTTCAGTTCTGAGAGGGTCAGGCCCCCCTGGACTCCCCCTTCGTTTGTCTTTAGCAAGGGACTTGAGCCATGAGCCATTGAAGTCGAGGATGCCCAGACTGGAGACTCTTAGCATCTGACGACGGAAGAAAATGAAACGCAGTTACTAAAAATATCCATCTGTACTGAAAATCTTGAAAATAGATAGAAATTTTCCAAGAAGTATACTTACTTTTTTGAAAATTTAAGAAGAATTCTACAGTGCCCCAGCGTGTTTCTGAAAATCTATTCACCTTTTACGAAATTTTTAGGGTAAATTTTTCACTTTTTTTTACGAAACAAGGGTTGCACGTGAATTCGTAGTGGTTTTTCACGGGTAACAGGGGCCCCCTCCGGGGACCAGGGACCCAGTATCCCCCCCTTGTGGCGGGCCTACCTTCATGCACGCTGGGCTTGTCGATTTCCTTTGACATTTTTACAGTGGTGAATGCATAGCTGAAGTGCGCTACAGCTAGAATTGTATAAAGCAAATGGGTAATTTTTACAGGAGGATTATAAATAAACAAGTGGTTAGAAATGAACACAAAAGAATATGAACGATGCAAAACGATAATCCGGGTATCGGAACTTGGCTGTTTTGAAAACGCCTTCAAATGCGGCGTGATACCTCGCGGATTCCGGAGAGTTCAAATAGTTGTATCATTGCGCCGTAAGAATGTGAGGGAAGATTTAAATGGAAATAGCCTCCATGCTCGGTGGGCATGTCGATTTCCTTTGACATTTTTACAGTGGTGAATGCATAACTGAAGTGCGCTCCAGCTAGAATTGTATTTACAAATGGGTGGTTTTTCTACGAGGATTAAAAATAAACGAGTGGTACGGAATGTAACAAAAGAATATGAACTATGCAAAACGATTATTCCGAAAACGGAACTTGGCTGATTTGAAAACGCCTTCAAATGCGGCGTGATACCTCGCGCATTCCGGAGAGTTCAAATAGTTGTATCATTGCGCCGTAAGAATGTGACGGAAGATTTAAATGGAAATAGCCTCCATGCACGCTGGGCGTGTGATATTTTTTGATATTTTTGCAGTGGTGAATGCAAAGCTGAAGTGTGCTCCAGCTAGAATTATATTAATATATAATATATTATTTTATAAAATATATAAATTAATAGCCTACCCGTGCACAGGCCCGCCACATCCCTTCTTGGGCCCTGGTACCAGTTTTAAGGTCCAGGCCCCAAGCACGGAGGGGGGGGGGGTCCGAGGGGCATCCCCCGAGAAATTTTAGAATTTTTACGACTAATTGGACGCATTTTGAAGCTTCCGTAAAAAATGTTTCCATCAATTTCCGCGGAATAATTATGTTTTTTTTTCTACTTTTAGCACAAAATACTTGCGAATTGTTGCTTTCAAAACATCTGGAAAATTTGTATTTTTTTTTTTTTTTTTTTTTTGG